AAAAAAAAAGAAAAGAAATTAGTGGCATCGCTATCTATCTGTCCATCCAGTTGACCAAAGTAGAAATGTTGGGATTATTTCTTGATTTTTTTGGTTTAGTCCACTATTCATCATTATTTCTGTATATATTTATATGTATACACACATAAAAGTATCAGTCACCTTTCAGTATAACACCTAATTTTGGAAATTAATTGTATTGGGAAAATAATTATTGCATGGGAGTACAAAAATGAGTCTTTCCATAAATCAGATGAATAAGCTTAAAGATATTTTAGCAAGATACTATATCTCTGCTCAGGAAAAAGCATGGCTCTCATTCTCTTGTACCTAAATTCAACATTTCAAACCAACAAACTATTTTCATTGGCAATTATAGATGTAGATCAGGACATATTGAAAGAGGCCGGTAAGTTATCTATGTTCCCTTTCAGAACTCTCAAAGTCTTTTTTTTTTTAACTTCAAATTAATATGAGGGTACAAATTTTTAGATTACTTTTTTCTCACTTCCTTTTTTTTCTTTTTTAATTTTTTCTTTTAGAGACAGTCTCACTTTGTTGTCCTCAATAGGGTGCTGTGGCATCATAGCTCACAGCAGCCTCCAGCTCTTGGGCTTAGGCGATTCTCTTGCCTCAACCTCCCGAGTAGGTGGGACTACAGGCGCCCGCCACAACGCCTGGCTATTTTTTTGTTGCAGTTTGCCCTGGGCTGGGTTTGAACCCGCCATTCTCAGTATATGAGGCCAGTGCCCTACTCACTGAGCCACAGGTGCCACCCTGTTCTCACTTCTGAGATAATGTTCAAGTTCTACTGAGCCCTTCACCCAGGGGATGTCTGGACACCCCCACATTGTGCACTTTAGGTGACAGCCTGTCTATTGCCTTCCCACCTGCTGCCAATCTCCCTCTTTCCCTCTTTCCTCCCCTTTGCTAGACTGTGTGTGTTTTATCATTTGTGTGGGTGTGTAATTGTTCATATATTATTTTCATATTAGTATTCAATATATTAGTTTTTTTTCCATTTTTGTTTTTGAGACAAGAGTCTCACTATGTTGCCTTCGGTAGAGTGCTGTGGTGTCACAGCTGACAGCAACCTCAAACTCTTGGACTCAAGCAATTCTCTTGTCTCAGCCTGCCAAGTAGCTGGGACTATAGGTGCCTGCCACAATGCCCGGCTATGTTTTGGTTGCAGTTGTCGTTGTTTAGCTGACCCAGGCTGGGTTCAAACCCACCAGCCTGGGTATATGTGGCCAGCACCATAACCACTGTGCTACAGGCACCAAGCCTTTTTTTCCATTCTTGAGATACTTTACTAAGAAGAATATGTTTCAACTCCATCCAGATAAACATAAAAGATGTAAAGTCTCCATCTTTTCTTATGGCTGAATAGTAAGTACTCCATGGTATACATATGCCACCAACTCTGTGTTCTTTTTTTTTTTTTTTTTT